AGAGGCCAAGTCATCTTGGTCTTTAAATCTGGAATAAGATATAAAAAGATCAGTAAATGGGCGGTATCTCATTATATTAGTGAGTAAATGATTTAAGATTAACGCGCTAATTAAGAATCTTAGACGGATGTTTAACCCAAAACATTCGGAAATCTTACGCCACTACGGTAAAATAATATTTCGGGTAAAAATCACAATTCTCCCCTATTATAGTTAACCTGATATACATTTTTAAAATCCTCTGATATGAAAAGACTAAGAAAAATAAGGTAAAAAGACGGTTCTCTGAGAGTCAGTGATATAAATGGCAGAATAAAAGTAAAAATGCTTAGTAGGCAAGTTAATTTTCATTTTATTTCAGATTCTGGTATGACAGGGTAAAGAATCCATGCATTACATATTGCTAGATTAGATGGAAATGACTTATAAATTAATTAATATTAAGCTTAATTTTGTATATATGATCCTTGGGATAGAGCAACTTGTGTATTCGTAGCTTTATAAACGAACAAGTTTCTGGTATATTTTTAAATAAATTTGTAGAATTAAATGGGAAGCAATCGTAGTTTTTATTAAGACCCTTTTGACAAAGGAATATATATCAATAAATAGTCAAATGATATGCCCAATGTATATGAGAACGTATTCATACGAACACTTTCCGAAATTGATTGACATTTAAATGCTTTTCTCATACCTTTATAAGCAAGCCTTTAGACAACTAGTTGCATATCCATTTTTATTGAGCATGGGTTATTATCAAACTAGCCTAATGTCTAATGCATCAAACAATAGAAGATTCTTATAGAAGGATTGCAAATTCCTGGAAATTTCGTTTATATTACTATTATATTTATTATTTTTATGTTTAAATATTATAATTTTAATGATGTCCATCTGTGAGTTTCCGAATTTTACAGTAATTTTTCTAAGAACATTTAGAGCTATTTTCAAAAATTAACTAGTTACCTAGTTGAAGTGCCTTGTTGAAACTCACATAAAAGTATAATATAAAAATAAGCCAAAATGTAACTAAAGAAGCCATAGTTCAGATAATTCTAAAAATAAACAAATTAATAGTGAGGAAAATTCTAAATATTTAGAACAAACGTTTGGACGCTCAAAATTGAGTCAGATAAAGTATAGAACTGGACCATAAATAAATAGGCTCAGATCTCTGTAAATTCACTTAAATAAGAGCAATCTTTAGTTTGTTTTATGAAGAACTTAAAATTAGTCAGGTATTAAGCTTTGTTTGACCCTTATATGAAAATTTACTTGTGAAAAAAACTATTTATAGCCAAGGAGCTCTTATGAAAGACAAATAAATAGCGAGATAATCTCTGGTTATGGTGATTTCAAAGTGATTTTACATGGATAAATAAGTTTCGAATAGTTACTAAATTGGCTAGTTTATGATTTATTTTGTGAGGTCGGAACAGTTAGATAAGTTTCATCTTCCTAAGCATCAGATCATGTAGTAAAAAATCCACTGCTAAATTATATCATGTCTATTGATTGTTTCAATTTGTAATTCCTGTCCTAATTCTTCTTGGCTTGTAAACAGATAAAGCCACCTCTATGCTGAAAGCACTTATTTTAACGATATATTGTATCATTAGTTTGATTCATTGTGGTGGATTGGAGTGATTTTCTAATTGTATGGTTATATTAAAAGGGAATATACAATTTTCTACTTTTTAGAAACAGCTTGAACTGCTTGATCATATGAGCAGAGAGGAAAGATTGGTCAGGGAAACTATTCCAAATGATAATAGATTTAATCTCCCGAAGTGTAATAGTTTCTTAACAGATATAAGTGATATATGATTTTGTAGGTTTGCACGAAATTATAGATGAGATTAGAACAATACTGGATACTTACCTGAGTAAGCGACTTAGAAATGAGTAAAGAAACTCGGTGGCAGAGTATACATTTATTTTTCATAACCTTTTCAGCCTCACAGAAATCTTCACTTTTTCGATTTTTACCAAACTTTTCTGTCCAGGAAATTATCTGTCCAATGGCTGTATAGCCAGTTAAAGATCTAATAGTTCGGACAATAAGCCGCAATGTGCGCAGACTGCATAAAACAAGATTATAGAAAAATGTAATGTGAAAGATTTCATATTCGGTGAAGGATAATGGTTTAATTGAGAAAAATTCGATTAGTTCACGAAAACGTGGTCATACGAAGGTATACATATGTCTGTATACATCTATGTATTTTAAAGCAAATAAAACTAGTCTAATAAATTTCAGAGAAGTTTTTAAAACAACTTTCTACTTAATATTTCTTGTAAATATACGATAATATTGCTGTATCTATCATCAGAAAATGTTAAGTGTGACAAAACTAAAGGCTAACTGATTAGAAAGAATATTTGTCGCCTAAGATTGATTATAAAAATATGGCTATGCTAATAATAATCCTGAACATAGCATAAGAAAAACCTCTAACCTCGACTTGCTGGTTTCATTTGAAATATTGAGTTTTGAAGCACTCTATTCTGCCTTTGCTAGGTTTAAAAATTGATGAAGAAATTCATCCCCCACTGCCTACTCAGTCCACAAACTATTACTATAAAGAGTCAGAACCCAAAGAAAATGTTATTCTTTGTTAAGATACAATTAAGCCTATAGCTTGATGTAAATAAATAAATAAATAAATATATATATAATTAAATAAATAAATAAATAAATGTGTAATTTGGATTTGGCATGCATCCTTGTAGATTATTATTAGAATAATTTAAATGAGTTAATGATTGATTGAGAAATAAGGCGTGAAATTTGGCAATAAATTGTATTTAAAATCATAGTTTTTCTAATCACTTATATACTAATATCCTGCCGCATAAGAATTACCGAATTTCAGGATTAAGGCTTGTTGTATACACTTCAATTAAAACGAGAACACATTTTTGAATAAACCATGATATAGGGCTCGGCTCTTCGTTTTCAATAATCGCTTTGGCTTCTAAAAAAGAAAATGTCCGCTTGATAATTATACTTTGAGGTTAAAATAGCTTAAAACTTACTTAAAGGGGTAGTACAAGCATGAGGTGCGATAAATAATAGGTTAAAGTGGAAAAACTGCTATACCTATACTTACCGCCCAGTAAACTAGTACAAGCAACTACAGTTAATAGTATAATGTAAAATGGAATGATGAATAGGGAGCAAGAGCAATCTCCTTCTATCCGCTGTATATTCATTAGAGTTATTCATCTTTAAACTGATACTATACCCTTGCTCTATCCTATGAGCCTGCAGCTACATCTAGTGCAATACTTATCTTCCGTCCTAAATCACTAGGTTAAATATACAAGGCATGTAACTAAAACACTTTTATATGATCTATTATATCTTAGGATTACCAGGTCATCAATAAATTTTTTGTATAATAATTTTCACAAAATTCGATATTAATTAATTGCAGCATGAGGTACCTTGCAAATTGTCCACTTGAGCTTAACTGAAGTTAAGTGTACTTTTATCGACAAGCACTGTCATAGTCCCCGATCGTTACAATGTATTCATATACATCGAATTACGCAATAAGGCAAGGCGTCAAATATTCTCCATATAATTTGAAATAGCAATAATATAGAAGTTTAGTGCTTCCACGCAGAACTATATCTTTAAGCAATACTAAAAAAGCCGATTACTTCTCAAATTTTGAGGCAGAAATGCCTCGAAATCTTATTTTACATCCAGATTCAATTCTTTTCTATGTTCTTAATTTCACCTAATTTCTTCAGAATGATCATCAAATTATGTAAATGAAACATTTTCTATTCTCCGAATAGCATAATTTTAGGCTTGAAGCCTGTTTCTTCTATTGTCTTTTAGTCACTTTTTGATCTTTTTGTCATTTATTCGTGCTCGTGTCAAATAAATTTCCAGGAAATAGGTTAAAAGTTATTTGTTGTTAATAAATCGGTTTTGAGATTACCATAGATAATTCAGCCTGATGCGAATGAAGGATGAAAGATTAGTAATTGTATTTTCCCACAATTATAGAATAAGGCCTAACATTTTCACTGAATTTCACATAGCTTTGCTTCCTAAAAGGTATTCTTATTCAAAATGGACTGCAGTTTCTACTTTGCCTAGGTCTCATCAACTCCCCTGATCAGAACCTGAATCCGAGTAGTGAGGCGTAGTCTCTACACGTTAATCACTACACCCTACTGTCACGAATACACTCGGTTCACAGGGCAGACGTAACTTCCAAGAAAGGCCAGGAATTTTCATCATGTATGGTGAGTGTGTCAATTAGCAATCGGCCACATTAATTATTTTACGTTTAAAAGTAAGTTCGAAGACTACTAGTAGATCATATATAAAAAATATATTCACCCTATTTCATTCAGCTACTAGTCCTTCTTCACCTTAAAACAAATAAGGTGAATATACTTCCTATATAAATATATATGTGTTACTAGTAGCATTGAATAATGCTTATAAAAAAAATAATTTAATGTAGTCTGTCGTTATGGCAAACACAACGTTGCTTTAACGATAACCCCACCACTGAGGGTGAAATAAGAAAGGCCCGGCCTTTCTTGACACAAGGGCACTTGTGGCAGTGTTGCGTAGCCTTTAATATTTCGGGACTGTACGCTGCACCACAGCAACCCAGGTTCGAGTCCCGCTAGGAGTGTTTATGAGACCGAGACGAGGTAAAACCTGAAATTCACTCTGGTTAAGAATAGCTAGTTGGAAGTGAGGCTATACAAAAACAATAGAGCATATTTATACAATTGTGCGAGAATTTAACTACCAGCCCTTAACCACTTTAAATGAATTAGGGTGAATTAATCTAATAAAATAGGTTAGTTGACCTTCTTACTTAATTTATTGCTAGTAACTATTCGTTTTTCGAAAGATCAATTAGAGGGAAATCACCTCCTATTGCTAAGGCAATAGGTATACTAAAGCCTTAAGTATTCATTTTAATGTAAAAGTTTTATCTAGCAAAGAATAGAGTTATCTAAACATAAATAATAGCTATGCTATTATTACGGTTTTCATGCTTTTCCAAAATTTCGGAGGCCTTCTCAAGCCGAAGAATAATTGTCGCAAGCTCTCGTTCATTCATTCTTCCTCGAATAACATCAGTTCTCCTTCTAGTTGCCTGAATGCGAAGACTAGCTAAGTTGCATCGAGCCACCTGGCTAGGAAGACGGCCGTCAGCAGTTAGCAAAAGTGGGTTGGCAGAAGTTCGGTTTAGGAGCCAGTTACATGTATGGGTAGCATCAGATTTAAGTCCATGCTCAGGTGAAGACTGAGTGGGGAATGAAAGTACTTGGGCAGAGTGAAGTGAAGCAGACGTAGCAAAGGGCATTGAGGAAGAAAGAGCAACGGGCACAGATTCATAGCCATCTCGATTTGCTGCCTGGCCTAAGCCACCCTGTAGCTCAGTGAGCAGATAATGCAGACACCCGAGGTGACCACCTGCGGCAGCGTAATGCAGCGGGCCAGCGACCAGCCCAGCATTGATATCAGCTCCCCGTTGGCGCATTGCCTGCAGCCCAGATAAGTAGCCATGGCTGACAGCATGGGCCAAAGTAGTCTGGCCATGACCATCCAGCCAGGATGGCGAAAGTTGACCACACTGCAGTAAAGCCATAAATTCCACTATAAAAAGTTAAATATGAGAAAATATAATTAGGCCTATAAATAGTTAATCTGCTAGTATTCTGAAAACGCAGATTATAATGTGTAACTAACGGTGGCAAATAATAAAGTAGGATTTGGTTTGGGATTAGATAAAAAAATGTTATTGAGTAGAAGCCAAGCATAGAAGAGTATTGACTAAAATCACGCTTAACTTCTATGGTGTGGTGACGAAGTTGTGGACAGTATATGAATAGGGGTGTAAGGAGAATGATGGGAAGGTGGCACCTGCTCATAGTAAAATGAAAAGAAGGTTAATATAACAATGAAGATTTTATATGGAAGAGCTTAATAAATTGGCTTAATTGGAAAGCAAAGAAAGATTTCTTTCGAATTGTGACTGTTACTTTGAGCGTAATGATCAAAGACGCACTGTCTTCTCAAAACAATTAACCATACTGGAACTTAGTCTGCCTTGCCGCGGTTGGCGCCATCAAAGCGAGAAACCATTCTGATATGGAATTCCCCATGTATTAACCCAAGAATAGGGCAACCGCAAACCACCCTACATTTCTCATCTTAATAAGACATACCAGGATTTGGTCGGCTATTTCATGCCTCTTCTCATAAGCTTACTCATAAACGAAGTTGATTCAGATGCAGCCGAAGATCCGTTACCTTACCTGAATGACCTGTATTTTGATCCTACAATGTTTTGTGATCTGTTGTATGATAATACGCAAAACGTATATATGTGATGTTCAATAATTAATTAAGCTATAAGAGATGTAACTAGGGTCCAGGTTAATTAAACCCTTTTATACTACTCTGTGATCCGTCATGTTCACTCTTCCATATTCTGTCCAACACCAAGAGCTAAATCCTCCTTCATTTATAGATTTCTGGCGAGTATACAGCAACTAGATAATGAGATTCGGAGGTCAATCTCATCAGAAAATGATGGCGAATTTCTCTCGGCTAGCTGTCGATTGGCTGTACTGGAACATTCGTGTTGAGGCTGTTTTTGAGGCAATCTCCTTCGATTCCGGTGGAATCGTGATTAACTTCTGTCCATGGTATGACAGACATCATCAGAACAAGGTATCATCCTCATAGCCATATTAAAGATAATAAGTCAATAAAATTCACCAGCTTATCCTTAAATGCTGTATATAAACACATTCATCTACTTGAGGTTGCCATATAACTTGAGCCAGCCAAACCAACTTATGCCTCATCAAATATACTATTTATAGGGTTTATATACAGCATTGAAGAGTAAGTCGATGAATTTTCTTAACAAGTTAGCTTGAATGTGGTTGTAAGGATGATACCCTGCTCTGATTGTGACGAAAACAGTCTCAACAAGAATTTTCCAGTAAGGCTAATCGACAGCTGATCAAGAGGAATCCGCCGTCGTTTTCTGGTGAGATTGACCTAAGAATCTCCTTACCAAACACTTCCACTTGAAATGGGAGTGAGCTCAACAAGATAAACCAAGAGATTCCTCAAAACGCAACTTTTCCTCGCGAATAACAGAATTTACCCAAATCTTTCTATATCCATTTATATCTAAGAGCTTTTATCGTTATGAGTATATATATCATGTCGGAAAAAGCCGATCAGTCTCCTTACCTTGGTGTTAACTGAAGAGTTCTGCAAGAATGAATCCTAGATCTGATGATGCTCGTCATATGACGAAGGAAAGCATAGTCTGTTTTCGCCCGAAACGAAGGAGGAAATATCTTGTGGACTGAGTCAACCTAAATGTCGTATTAAGGCTAAACAGCTGCAGTAGCATCGCCTCATGGTGAGATCGACCTACGAATCTCATCAGCATGCACTTTCATACAAAATGATAGTCTCAAAATCTTTGGGTAAAAGTTGTTCGTTAAGATTGGCTATACGCAAATAATCTGGAAGCTGACAAGGTTTTATTATCGCCTCCAATAGACACACTATGAAGACACGCGGTACTACCGAAAAAACTGCTGATCCTAGACTTAGT